TTGATTGAGACGATAACTAGAACCATTTCAAACATTCTCACCAAAGGAAATCCCCTTACCTGCCGTCGGAGTGTGTTAAAAACTACCCTTAGTGCGAAAATGTTAGAAAAATTGGACAAACACATTTCGGAAAACTGTAACGCTCTGAAACTTGATTGAGACGATAACTAGAACCATTTCAAACATTCCCTCTAAAGGAATCCCCTTACCTGCCGTCGGAGTGTGTTAAAACTACCCTTAGTGCGAAAATGTTAGAAAAAATTGGAAAAACACATTTCGGAAAACTGTAACGCTCTGAAACTTGATTGAGACGATAACTATAACCATTTCAAACATTCCCTCTAAAGGAAATCCCCTTACCTGCCGTCGGAGTGTGTTAAAAATTACCCTTAGTATGAAAATAATGGAAAAAAAAAAAACTACCCTTAGTGCGAAAATGTTAGAAAAAAATTGGAAAAACACATTTCGGAAAACTGTAACGCTCTGAAACTTGATTGAGACGATAACTAGAACCATTTCAAACATTCCCTCTAAAGGAAATCCCCTTACCTGCCGTCGGAGTGTGTTAAAAATTACCCTTAGTATGAAAATAATGGAAAAAAAAAAAAACTACCCTTAGTGCGAAAATGTTAGAAAAAAATTGGAAAAACACATTTCGGAAAACTGTAACGCTCTAAAACTTGATTGAGACGATAACTAGAACCATTTCAAACATTCCCTCTAAAGGAAATCCCCTTACCTGCCGTCGGAGTGTGTTAAAAACTACCCTTAGTGCGAAAATGATAGAAAAAAACTGGAAAAACACATTTCGGAAAACTGTAACGCTCTGAAACTTGATTGAGACGATAACTAGAACCATTTCAAACATTCCCTCCAAAGGAAATCCCCTTACCTGCCGTCGGAGTGTGTTAAAAACTACCCTTAGTGCGAAAATGATAGAAAAAAACTGGAAAAACACATTTCGGAAAACTGTAACGCTCTGAAACTTGATTGAGACGATAACTAGAACCATTTCAAACATTCCCACCAAAGGAAATCCCCTTACCTGCCGTCGGAGTGTGTTAAAAACTACCCTTAGTGCGAAAATGTTAGAAAAAATTGGAAAAGCACATTTCGGAAAACTGTAACGCTCTGTAACTTGATTGAGACGATAACTAGAACCATTTCAAACATTCCCACCAAAGGAAATCTCCTTACCTGCCGTCGGAGTGTGGTTAAAAACTACCCTTAGTGCGAAAATGATAGAAAAAAATTGGAAAAACACATTTCGGAAAACTGTAACGCTCTGAAACTTGATTGAGACGATAACTAGAACCATTTCAAATATTCCCTCCAAAGGAAATCCCCTTACCTGCCGTCGGAGTGTGTTAAAAACTACCCTTAGTGCGAAAATGATAGAAAAAAATTGGAAAAACACATTTCGGAAAACTGTAACACTCTGAAACTTGATTGAGACGATAACTAGAACCATTTCAAACATTCTCACCAAAGGAAATCCCCTTACCTGCCGTCGGAGTGTGTTAAAAACTACCCTTAGTGCGAAAATGTTAGAAAAAATTGGACAAACACATTTCGGAAAACTGTAACGCTCTGAAACTTGATTGAGACGATAACTAGAACCATTTCAAACTTTCCCACCAAAGGAAATCCCCTTACCTGCCGTCGGAGTGTGTTAAAAACTACCCTTAGTGCGAAAATGTTAGAAAAAAATTGGAAAAACACATTTCGGAAAACTGTAACGCTCTGAAACTTGATTGAGACGATAACTAGAACCATTTCAAACTTTCCCACCAAAGGAAATCCCCTTACCTGCCGTCGGAGTGTGTTAAAAACTACCCTTAGTGCGAAAATGTTAGAAAAAATTGGACAAACACATTTCGGAAAACTGTAACGCTCTGAAACTTGATTGAGACGATAACTAGAACCATTTCAAACTTTCCCACCAAAGGAAATCCCCTTACCTGCCGTCGGAGTGTGTTAAAAACTACCCTTAGTGCGAAAATGTTAGAAAAAATTGGACAAACACATTTCGGAAAACTGTAACGCTCTGAAACTTGATTGAGACGATAACTAGAACCATTTCAAACTTTCCCACCAAAGGAAATCCCCTTACCTGCCGTCGGAGTGTGTTAAAAACTACCCTTAGTGCGAAAATGTTAGAAAAAAATTGGAAAAACACATTTCGGAAAACTGTAACGCTCTGAAACTTGATTGAGACGATAACTAGAACCATTTCAAACATTCCCTCCAAAGGAAATCCCCTTACCTGCCGTCGGAGTGTGTTAAAAACTACCCTTAGTGCGAAAATGTTAGAAAAAATTGGAAAAACACATTTCGGAAAACTGTAACGCTCTGAAACTTGATTGGGACGATAACTAGAACCATTTCGAACATTCCCACCAAAGGACAACCCCTTACCTGCCGTCGGAGTGTCTTAAAAACTACCCTTAGTACGAAAATAATAGAAAAAAATTGGAAAAACACATTGCGAGAAACTGTAACGCTCTGAAACTTGATTGGGACGATAACTAGAACCATTTCGAACATTTCCACCAAAGGACAACCCCTTACCTGCCGTCAGAGTGTGTTAAAAACTACCCTTAGCATGAAAATAATAGAAAAAAAATGTTTTCTATCATTTTCTTACTAAGGGTAGTTTTCAACACACTCCGACGGCAGGTAAGGGGTTGTCCTTTGGTGGGAATGTTCGAAATGGTTCTAGTTATCGTCCCAATCAAGTTTCAGAGCGTTACAGTTTTCCGAAATGTGTTTTTCCAGTTTTTTTCTATCATTTTCGCACTAAGGGTAGTTTTTAACACACTCCGACGGCAGGTAAGGGGATTTCCTTTAGAGGGAATGTTTGAAATGGTTCTAGTTATCGTCTCAATCAAGTTTTAGAGCGTTACAGTTTTCCGACATGTGTTTTTCCAATTTTTTTCTAATATTTTCGCACTAAGGGTAGTTTTTAACACACTCCGACGGCAGGTAAGGGGATTTGCTTTGGAGGGCATGTTTGAAATGGTTCTAGTTATCGTCTCAATCAAGTTTCAGAGCGTTACAGTTTTCCGAAATGTGTTTTTCCAATTTTTTCTAACATTTTCGCAATAAGGGTAGTTTTTAACACACTCCGACGGCAGGTAAGGGGATTTTCTTTGGAGGGAATGTTTGAAATGGTTCTAGTTATCGTCCCAATCAAGTTTTAGAGCGTTACAGTTTTCCGAAATGTGCTTTTCCAATTTTTTTTCCATTATTTTCATACTAAGGGTGGTTTTTAACACACTCCGACGGCAGGTAAGGGGATTTCCTTTGGAGGGAATGTTTAAAATGGTTCTAGTTATCGTCTCAATCAAGTTTCAGAGCGTTACAGTGTTCCAAAATGTGTTTTTTCCAATTTTTTTCTATCATTTTCGCACTAAGGGTAGTTTTTTAACACACTCCGACGGCAGGTAAGGGGATTTCCTTTGGAGGGCATGTTTGAAATGGTTCTAGTTATCGTCTCAATCAAGTTTCAGAGCGTTACAGTTTTCCGAAATGTGTTTTTCCAGTTTTTTTCTATCATTTTCGCACTAAGGGTAGTTTTTAACACACTCCAACGGCAGGTAAGGGGATTTCCTTTGGAGGGCATGTTTGAAATGGTTCTAGTTATCGTCTCAATCAAGTTTCAGAGCGTTACAGTTTTCCGAAATGTGTTTTTCCAATTTTTTCTAACATTTTCGCACTAAGGGTAGTTTTTAACACACTCCGACGGCAGGTAAGGGGATTTCCTTTGGAGGGAATGTTTGAAATGGTTCTAGTTATCGTCTCAATCAAGTTTCAGAGCGTTACAGTTTTCCGAAATGTGTTTTTCCAATTTTTTTCTAACATTTTCGCACTAAGGGTAGTTTTTTAACACACTCCGACGGCAGGTAAGGGGGATTTCCTTTGGAGGGAATGTTTGAAATGGTTCTAGTTATCGTCCCAATCAAGTTTCAGAGCGTTACAGTTTTCCAAAATGTGTTTTTCCAATTTTTTTCTATCATTTTCGCACTAAGGGTAGTTTTTAACTCACTCCGACGGCAGGTAAGGGGATTTCCTTTGGAGGGAATGTTTGAAATGGTTCTAGTTATCGTCTCAATCAAGTTTCAGAGCGTTACAGTTTTCCGAAATGTGTTTTTCCAATTTTTTTCTAACATTTTCGCACTAAGGGTGGTTTTTGACACACTCCGACGGCAGGTAAGGGGATTTCCTTTGGAGGGAATGTTTGAAATGGTTCTAGTTATCGTCTCAATCAAGTTTCAGAGCGTTACAGTTTTCCGAAATGTGTTTTTCCAATTTTTTTCCATTATTTTCATACTAAGGGTGGTTTTTAACACACTCCGACGGCAGGTAAGGGGATTTCCTTTGGAGGGAATGTTTGAAATGGTTCTAGTTATCGTCTCAATCAAGTTTCAGAGCGTTACAGTTTTCCGAAATGTGTTTTTCCAATTTTTTCTAACATTTTCGCACTAAGGGTAGTTTTTAACACACTCCGACGGCAGGTAAGGGGATTTCCTTTGCAGGGAATGTTTGAAATGGTTCCAGTTATCCTCTCAATCAAGTTTCAGAGCGTTACAGTTTTCCGAAATGTGTTTGTCCAATTTTTTTCTATCATTTTCGCACTAAGGGTAGTTTTTAACACACTCCGACGGCAGGTAAGGGGATTTCCTTTGGAGGGAATGTTTGAAATGGTTCTAGTTATCGTCCCAATCAAGTTTCAGAGCGTTACAGTTTTCCAAAATGTGTTTTTCCAATTTTTTTCTAACATTTTCGCACTAAGGGTAGTTTTTAACACACTCCGACGGCAGGTAAGGGGATTTGCTTTGGAGGGCATGTTTGAAATGGTTCTAGTTATCGTCTCAATCAAGTTTCAGAGCGTTACAGTTTTCCGAAATGTGTTTTTCCAATTTTTTTCCATTATTTTCATACTAAGGGTGGTTTTTAACACACTCCGACGGCAGGTAAGGGGATTTCCTTTGGAGGGAATGTTTGAAATGGTTCTAGTTATCGTCTCAATCAAGTTTCAGAGCGTTACAGTTTTCCGAAATGTGTTTTTCCAATTTTTTTCTATCATTTTCGCACTAAGGGTAGTTTTTAACACACTCCGACGGCAGGTAAGGGGATTTCCTTTGGAGGGAATGTTTGAAATGGTTCTAGTTATCGTCCCAATCAAGTTTTAGAGCGTTACAGTTTTCCGAAATGTGCTTTTCCAAATTTTTCCATTACTTTCATACTAAGGGTGGTTTTTAACACACTCCGACGGCAGGTAAGGGGATTTCCTTTGGAGGGAATGTTTGAAATGGTTCTAGTTATCGTCTCAATCAAGTTTCAGAGCGTTACAGTTTTCCGAAATGTGTTTTTCCAATTTTTTTCTATCATTTTCGCACTAAGGGTAGTTTTTAACACACTCCGACGGCAGGTAAGGGGATTTCCTTTGGAGGGAATGTTTGAAATGGTTCCAGTTATCGTCTCAATCAAGTTTCAGAGCGTTACAGTTTTCCGAAATGTGTTTTTCCAATTTTTTTCTATCATTTTCGCACTAAGGGTAGTTTTTAACACACTCCGACGGCAGGTAAGGGGATTTCCTTTGGAGGGAATGTTTGAAATGGTTCTAGTTATCGTCCCAATCAAGTTTCAGAGCGTTACAGTTTTCCAAAATGTGTTTTTCCAATTTTTTTCTATCATTTTCGCACTAAGGGTAGTTTTTAACACACTCCGACGGCAGGTAAGGGGATTTGCTTTGGAGGGCATGTTTGAAATGGTTCTAGTTATCGTCTCAATCAAGTTTCAGAGCGTTACAGTTTTCCGAAATGTGTTTTTCCAATTTTTTTCCATTATTTTCATACTAAGGGTGGTTTTTAACACACTCCGACGGCAGGTAAGGGGATTTCCTTTGGAGGGAATGTTTGAAATGGTTCTAGTTATCGTCTCAATCAAGTTTCAGAGCGTTACAGTTTTCCGAAATGTGTTTTTCCAATTTTTTTCTATCATTTTCGCACTAAGGGTAGTTTTTAACACACTCCGACGGCAGGTAAGGGGATTTCCTTTGGAGGGAATGTTTGAAATGGTTCCAGTTATCGTCTCAATCAAGTTTCAGAGCGTTACAGTTTTCCGAAATGTGTTTTTCCAATTTTTTTCTATCATTTTCGCACTAAGGGTAGTTTTTAACACACTCCGACGGCAGGTAAGGGGATTTCCTTTGGAGGGAATGTTTGAAATGGTTCTAGTTATCGTCCCAATCAAGTTTTAGAGCGTTACAGTTTTCCGAAATGTGCTTTTCCAAATTTTTCCATTACTTTCATACTAAGGGTGGTTTTTAACACACTCCGACGGCAGGTAAGGGGATTTCCTTTGGAGGGAATGTTTGAAATGGTTCTAGTTATCGTCTCAATCAAGTTTCAGAGCGTTACAGTTTTCCGAAATGTGTTTTTCCAATTTTTTTCTATCATTTTCGCACTAAGGGTAGTTTTTAACACACTCCGACGGCAGGTAAGGGGATTTCCTTTGGAGGGAATGTTTGAAATGGTTCTAGTTATCGTCTCAATCAAGTTTCAGAGCGTTACAGTTTTCCGAAATGTGTTTTTCCAATTTTTTTCTATCATTTTCGCAATAAGGGTAGTTTTTAACACACTCCGACGGCAGGTAAGGGGATTTCCTTTGGAGGGAATGTTTGAAATGGTTCTAGTTATCGTCCCAATCAAGTTTTAGAGCGTTACAGTTTTCCGAAATGTGCTTTTCCAATTTTTTTCCATTATTTTCATACTAAGGGTGGTTTTTAACACACTCCGACGGCAGGTAAGGGGATTTCCTTTGGAGGGAATGTTTGAAATGGTTCTAGTTATCGTCTCAATCAAGTTTCAGAGCGTTACAGTTTTCCGAAATGTGTTTTTCCAATTTTTTTCTATCATTTTCGCACTAAGGGTAGTTTTTAACACACTCCGACGGCAGGTAAGGGGATTTCCTTTGGAGGGAATGTTTGAAATGGTTCTAGTTATCGTAACATTCAAGTTTCAGAGCGTTACAGTTTCCCGAAATGTGTTTTTCCAATTTTTTTCTATCATTTTCGTACTAAGGGTAGTTTTTAACACACTCCGACGGCAGGTAAGGGGATTTCCTTTGGAGGGAATGTTTGAAATGGTTCTAGTTATCGTTTCAATCAAGTTTCAGAGCGTTACAGTTTTCCGAAATGTGTTTTTCCAATTTTTTTCTATTTTTTTCGTACTTAGGGTAGTTTTTGACACACTCCGACGGCAGGTAAGGGGTTGTCCTTTGGTGGAAATGTTAGAAATGGTTCTGATGATCGTCCCACTGGGTTTGATGGTGTTATATTTTTCCGAAATGTGCTTTTCCAATTATTTTAATAATAAGGGTTGATCCCAGCCTGACGGCAATAAGGGGTTGTTCTCCGAACTAGACGTACTTGAGGGCTATGTTAAAGACTATTCTTAATTTCATGGTGTTACATTTTATTTTAAAAAAGTTGTTTAGTAGATATTATTGTTCTACTTGATGTTTTATTAGGGGTAGTTTTTTTTTTATTATTCTGTTGTACTTTGCACGAGGGTATATAATAATAATGTACACAAAATTTGTAAATCAACCACTTTAAAAAAAAAAAGAGCTGCCAAAAAATGGCTGCTAACTTCACAATTTTGGCTGCTACAAATGGCTGCTAACTTCACATTTTTGGCTGCTGCAAAAAGGCTGCTAACTTCACACCGGTCAATTATGATACCTTTAAAATATTGAAATTTGGTTAAAATTTACGGGGGCCTATTTTCAATGTAAATCGTGCCACCTTCTTTACTTTCACTATTTCATTATATACATATTTACAACTGCTTTATTATCACTTCTTCCCCCGCTTGCAGGTAGTACTGATGATGGCGAAATATCCGAATATTTCGGATATGTGTATTTCGTCTGTTCATAATTTTTTTATGATAAACCTAAAATATTTTTTTGATTTTAAAATACGAGCTTTCTCTGAATTTAAGTCTCAAAAATAAGGGTCGGTGACATAGAGTCTGTTATAAACTGTGAGATAGGAACTGTTTAGTGGAGTTGTTAGTTACGGTTACTATGCAAAGTTGATGGCTAAATTGTAAACTAGCTGGATAGTTTACAAACTAATCAACCCACTGGCTATTTGATAGAAAACACAACATTCATTAAAATAGCAGCTGGTTTGCAAACTAAACAAGAGTCTTGGCCTCAGACAAATAATAAAACTAGAGACCAAACAGGCCATTAAAAAATCGCCCAATGTTTACAATCAATCATCTTTAAGTCCATGACATAAGTAAGAGAGAGATAGACCTATAAAATGGCAACACTCTTCAGTGGCGGCCTGTTAAGTTTCCTCTCAATTTTTCCACTCATAATAAATTACCATAAATATTCTCTATCTACGCCAATGTCAAGCGTAAAATGATGTCAAATTTCTTACCGCCGAAATATTAAAATTTGCTTGGAATCATTAAAGATAATACATCGATGTACCATTTTACTATTCTCCACCACACTTTCCACAATTTTAAATCCAAAAATACCACTGATTAACACTCAAAATCACGAAATTAGGTCTATCACTTCTCAGCAACACTGCCAAATCCGTTATGGCTGCCATAAGTCACATAAAATCATCTTATTGGCTGCTCGTAGATGCAACGTTGTCGATGTGCCGTTTTTCGAGCCATATATTCCGAGTTATTCCAGAATTTTCACCAATTAAATTAAAAAAAGACTAATTATTTTTTCAAAAATGCGTTTAAGTTATGTTTCAACAAAGATTGATATAAAAAAAACATTTACATTATGTTAAAACAAATTTTGACATAATGATTATCCGTGAAAATATTTAATATTGAAAATCATATCGGATTATTGGCAACCAGGCTTTTCATGCAAAAATCGACCTTATGGATGTTGGATCGCGAATTGTTTGTTTACTGTTGTATCTGTCGTTTTTAGTTGTTAATCTGAGGTCTTGGCTAATTCACTTGAAATTATTGAGAAAACTAAAATAGCTGGTTAGGTTATAAACTATCCATTGCAGTTTGGCTAATATGAAAACCATATTTTCTAGTAACACAAAATAGCCAAAATTTTGGCTAGTTTACAAACTAGCCAACCAATTTCCTGGCCAATTTACAAACAAAGTTAGGTTAAAAAAATTGACGCTTCTTTAATAGATCTGTATAATAATAAAGCAAATAATTCCCAACATCACAACGAAGGAAATCTGGCAAAATATTAGCTTGTATGGACGATTTGTTTGATATTATTAAAGGCTTGCTTTCCTCGGAAGCGGGACGGAGACGGAACGGGTGCCGCAGACGTTGCCCTCATTAAAATATAAAGATGTGCTTTCCTAAGCAGCGGAGGCGCGACGGCGGCGGAGCGCAGTTTTTTTGACGCTAGCGGAATCACGCCACTGGTCGGTCGAGAGGCAACTTCGACGGGGCGCAACACCGACGGAAGAATATTTATAAATAAAAATCTGTGTAAAAATGTCGAATTTCACAGAAGAGAAAAGTGAATTATTGATCGACCTAGTGAGGCAGTATCCTGTACTGTACAATTTAAAGCACAAAAATTATTTCAACCACAATTAAAGAAAATGCTTGGAAAGCAATTAGTGATGCCCTTCAAAAACCTGGTAAGTAGAAGATAATTTATGGCCAGTTGCAGATAGACGCTATTATTTTTTTGGATTTTTTGTTTCGGATCTTTCGCTTGAATTATTTTATTTGCATTACTGATGGTACGTGTGTGTTGTTGCTTGTAACACCTCAAATTTTTTTTGTTAAAGTTGGTGAATGCAAAACCAGATGGAAAACCATCAGAGATTCCTACAGAAAACAAGCGAGGAAAAGCTCTTCATCAATCTCGTCTATTAGAATAAAAAATAATAAATCTTCGGAATCCATTTTCACACACGGATTGCAGAATCGCCGACGTCGCTACGCCTTCGAGGAAAGCACTACCTCCCTAGCGCGATACGCCGGGGAAGCGCTTTGACTCCGTCACGCTTGCGTTCCGTCTCCGTCCCGCGTCCGAGGAAAGCGAGCCTTAAAGAATCTCACCAATCAACTGGGCACGGCAGAAGACAAGTTACAACAAAGCTAATAAATCAAAAATATTCAAATAATACCCAAGAAATTGTAACTTTGTTCCTCGATAAATGTGAGAATTGACAGGTAAAAAAGAAAAAAGCAAAAATTTTCATTTCATTCATCTCTAATTTATCGGATAAGAAATACCATAAACATTTAACTTTATTTGTAAATTAGCCAGAAAATTGGTTGGTTAGTTTACAAACTAGCCAAAGGTTTGGCTATTTTGTGTTACTAGAAATCATGGTGTAACGGGACAAAATTGCATAAACATTTCTTACCTACTTTCAGTTTTATATTCAAGATTTCCTTAAGTTTTTCAACATTTTTTCTCAATTTCAATTGTTGTCAGATTTCCTAATTTCCCATAGTCAAATCCTATTTGCTGTGATGGTTTTTTTTTTTTCCTCATTTTAATCAATATTTTAATTCAATTCTAAATCAAAACAAGGCAATATTTTGATTACTGTTTAAATTCGATCATCTGTTTCATAACAAGAATAATTCATCTGTCAAAAATATTTCGTGGGCTGTGTTCCGTAATCGTGATGTCCCGTTTTCATGTGGTTGTACCGAACTCCTGTACACTACTCCGTTCGTACTAACTGTTCCGGTTGGGAGTGCTATCGATCTCGGCGCAAATTCGAGCGAACCCAGAGTCGCGCATTGTTTCGTTGATCTTTGAGAAACCTTGAACGCACCCATTGCTTTGACTTTTGATTGTCAAAAATTTCTGTCAGCCAGCGGTAGATTAGTGATGTTTCAGTATCGACGATTCTTCTTTTAGGCTCTCTAATTTTGAAAACGGAACACTTGCTCTATTTTGTATTCTTCAAGTTTTGATTGTTTTGTGGGATAATTATTTGTTGTTGATATCATTATTCATCAGCCGTTGTTATTTTTCTTGGTTTATATTGTTGTGTGCAATTTTTGGTAAGTAAAGATTCTATCGATTAATTGTTGTTGTTTGTCGTTCATGTCGATCATCTCTAAGTCTGAATTCCTCGCTTTAGGGTTAGGTTAGCTTATTAATGGAAGGTGTAGCACACTTTCTTTCACATCTGGACGTTGGAGAATTAGGGTCTTTTATGAAGATTGTCTTCGCCTTTTTGGGATTTCGACCCTAAATTCTCATTTGAAGTTATAACATTTAGTTGCCTTCATGCCTTACGTTTTCGTAGTGTTATAATTTTCGCCGATTTATTCGGATTTTTACAACTCCAATGTGGTAAGCTGCTTACACGTTTTTTTTCTTATAGTAGAGTCTGACTTTTTCAATTTAATTTAGTTGAAAGCTGCCCTAAGGAGTAGAGAATTCTCACTCTCTCTAGGAGATCCAATCCTCGATCCAGATTTCCAGAGATTTTCGAGGCGAAAAACCCTATTTCAACAGGTAAAAGAAACATAACCTTATAACAATTTTTGCAGGCTCGGGGCACGTTTTTCTTGATCAATATCAAAGCTTTATTATGATTCAATCTGATTTAATTAATTAATATCTTAATGTTCAATTTTTCTATTAAAATAATTTTCAAGAGCTATAGTTTTTTTTTATCAAGTAAATTTGCTATTGGGAACTAATCATTATAGTTTCATTTTCTAATTCAATTTATTCATGAAGTGCTTCGCTATTAGTTCAATTACAAATACAGTGTGTATAACAGTTTTTCTCTTAGGGTCCTTTCACGAGGGTATTTTTTTTCACGAGGTTATAACAATAGACGTTCAATTGTAACCGAAATTGAACTAAAAGGCTAACAGACCCCAGCCTAAGTAATCGGACGGTTACTCGAGTCATCGAACAAGTTAACCACAACCAGAAGCCAGGACTAATCTGGTTAATTGTGTGTACTACTACTACCTGGAACATTTTGGTATCGTACTAGTTTAGTTATCCTACTTATTATTATTGTTTATTTACATTCGGTCCCTATTTGTACACCCGGTGATCACCTAGGTATTTCAGGGTATAATTCATTGCTTGCCCCTAGTGTGGTGAATGAATTATTAAAATAGGTAACTTAACTAGACGTAACCTGTTGAATTAATGTCAACTTACTGGTAGTTCTGGTTACGTAAGTGTAAAATAACCGCTCCAATTTATTATTCATTAATTTATTGTTTTTTTTGTTTTGTTTTTCTCTTCAATTTACATTAACAACTTTTCTATTTATACCTTTTTTTTTTTTATTATTATTCATTTGGGTCATTGAGTCTCAATGACATGTTTGTATTTAAATTTAACTGTTCATGACT